TGCCTCTTGATCGTTGCTGAGCTGTTTCTACACCTTGATTGGAGTCCACCTGTGGTAAATTGATTGGACATGATTTGGAAAGGCACATACCTCTCTATAGAAGGCCTCTGTAGAAGTATGCAGCTGACAATGTATACTGTACCAGAGCAAAAGCCATGAGGTCAAAGGAACTGCCTGCAGAGCTCAGAAACAGGATTATTGCAAGGCACAGTTCTGGGGAAGGCTACAAAAAAAATTCTGCTACACTGAAGGTTCCCAAGAGCACAGGGCCTCCATAATTCTCAAATGGAAGAAGTTTGGCACAACCAGGACTTGGGGTACTGAGTGTAGATTAATGAGAAAAAATGAATTTGAATGATTATAGTATTAGGCTGCAACATAACAAAATTGAAAAAAGTGAAGGGGGTCTGAATACTTTCTGAATGTACTGTATGTGGAAGTAAGTTCTCTGTTTGGTCATATTTATTTTAAGTGCATATGACACTGCTCTCTTCTTTCAAAAATGTTAACAGATTTGCTAGCTGCTGCTTCTGGTTTTGCTTTTTTTGGGGGGGGCAGAGATTGACAAGTTATAAATAGCATTTTAATAATACAGTTGTTAAGATGAACTTCCTAGAACTGCATGGTATATTCTAAGCATGCTTATGCCTATTCTTTCTTTCTTTTTCTGGAGACAAGAAACAAATCTGTTGCTTTTAGCTCTGATCTCTACCAAATAAATGTACAAACATTAGAAAAATAATCTAGATAATTTGCCCCATTTTTGATTTTCAGGTATTAATAATAATGGTGAAAAAGATAAACCATGCTAACTTAAGTATGGCTACAAAAGCTATTCCAAATAAGCAGTGTTTTAAAAAGAACACTGAACACTGAAAATTCTTATTCTCTTAACATATTGGATTTTACATTTTATAGATTAGTTGCATTTTACTGCTTGTTAACTATCTAGGCAACTTTGGTTATTGGGCAGATTATTATTAATAAAACAAAAATGAGATGAAAGAGAAATGGATTTTGGAGGTTTGCAGTGCAGCCATCATATTCTTCTGGGTGTTGCTGCTGAATACATTTTATGTACATATAAAAGATGGTGGTCTTTGTGACTGGGGAAGATGTGAATTGGAACACAACCGCCATTACCTTCCTCCATGTGTCAAGACATTGCAAACATACCCCAAAGGGGTAGACAGCTTGCAGCCTAATACTGCTTTTGTCAGAATAAGTCTGCAGAGAGCACTGAATGCCAGGGTTATAGCAAGACTGAAAAGTAAAACCAAAGGCAAAAAATCAATATAGGTCAGTGGCAAAGCACTTTTGTTTTATTGGCAAGAAAACTACACAGCAGTGTCCATGAAAGCATTCAAGGTCATGCTCAACTGGAAGAAGACTTTACATTTTAGTTAATTTCAAGAAAGTGGAAATATCTTTCAAGATGTAATATATGGTTATATGGCTGGTTTCATACATCATGGTAAGCTATGGTTTCTTTTAACATGCTTTGTGGAAAAAGCCATAATGGCCTCTTTTGCATATAATACTATTTTTAAATCACAACGGCTGCATTTGTGTATCATGCTAAATCATAATCAAATCTAACCATAGTATACTCTATCATGATACATGAACCTGAATAATGAAATTCAGTTGTGCAAATTGATACCTTCTTTATTATCTAATCATGTTTTTCCCTCCCCATTATTATTTCATTGGTTTGAGGTGGTCCCTGGGTTAAGAACGCCCGGATTACAGACAACTCATAGTTAAGAATGGAGCCTATTGTAGCAAAATTGAGTTAAATACACAATGATTTGAGTTAAATACACAATGGTTCGAGTTAATTACAGAATACTACTTATACAGTATTATACTGTTCTGGCTTACATACAAATTTGACTTAAGGACAGACCTTGGGAATGGAACTTGTTCTTAAACAGGGG